ATGTTTTTAGAGAATGTGTGGTTAAAAAATAGGAGAAATTTTAGATTTACGTGCAAAATATTTTATTACGTGAATGTGGTTAAAAATGAATACGAGAATTAAAAAGTTATTTGAAAAAGTAATATTATTTATCACAACTCGTGTTTAACATTGATTTAGGTGACATCACTTGTATTATTAAATTACAAATTCAATTAAGAACCTGTTTGATAACCATTTTTTGCAAAAATGAGAATGCTTTTTTTGACCGTTACCTATGTCAGTGGGGCCCAAGGTGCTACAGCTTCTGAAATGGCAGCAATTTGTTTACAGAATTGCCCCAACTTCCTTAAGAAAGAAAATTATTTGAAAGGGCAACTTGGTAATTTAATTGAATTTTATTTTCAAAAATTACGACTCCTTCTGACACTTCATTGTATAACGGTGGGAAATTGTCTAAAAATGAGGCAAAAATTTCCATCAGACAGACCCTAAATACAAAAATTTATAATTTATTTATTAAGACTTAACATGTGTTGATATTGAAATTGATGTTAAACCCATGTTTGAACTACATTAAAATTTTGATTATCATTCTTCTACTCATTTCCAATCTGACATTTTTAAATAAAATAATATTTTCTATCCCATCAATAAATTTTTATTCATTTTCAATCACACATTCTCCAATAATCTATTATTTCAAAATACATTCTTCCAAAATAACGTGGTTCAAACACAATCTAAAAAGTAATTCTATTTAAAAATAACACGAACCGGCTTAAAGTCCGCCTGTCCTAATTGCGCTAAAGATTCTGAACTGAGCCCAAAAATGGTACGGTGTTGCTTGGTGTACTGTCAGTTTATTTGACTGGCACTTTTGCCTCGATTTCAACAAGACTTACCACTGTCAATTGTTTAACGTTGAATGTAGAACTAGCATAATTCAAAGCGGGAGACTCAGAGGAGTCACTGAGTAATTGGAACTTTTACACTTTGTTGAAGAGAGAAATAGCAGCGAAAATGGAGGAAGAAAAGGTGGACTATGTACTGGTGCCTCTGGGCATGGGGATTTTGTTGGCATACCATGTTTGGCTTCTGTTCATGATAGTAAGAAACCCGAGAAGAACTGTGATTGGCCTCAATGCAGAGAGCCGCCAAAGATGGGTTCATTGCTTGATGACTGTAGGTTTTCTCTCAATTCACTTTCTCTCCAATTGATTTTGTTGGGCTTTTCGAGTTGTGTATACATGTGCTTATGATCACGTGTGTAAGTGCTGGTTGTTCTTGATATCAAAGATATTGATTCTGTTTTGGGTCAACAAAGTTATTTGAATCTTTATATAAATATTAGCTGGGGTACTTTTAGCAGCAATCATTATTTTAGGGGAAATTCAAGTTTCGATTCACCGTCTTTCTTTGTCATCTAGATTTTGTTCAAATTTTACAACCCAAAAACATGCCCCATGTTTGTGTATACTAAAGTCATTTTTCCCATTCTTAAAACCCTAATAGAAACATATTCGGGGCCCTCAATGCTGTGGATTCATGAGTGTATTTCTCACCCAGTTCATTCCCTCCTTGCCATCCTAAATGCTGTTAACTTGCCATTGTTAACGTTTTTATACTAGAAGTATGGTTAATTTTGGCTTCCACTGTAGATTCAGGGTTCAGAGAGGGAAAAAATTACAAACAACTATTTTTAGTGAGATAGGTCTTTATGTTTTAAGCAGGCACGTGAAAGATTATGCAATTTTAGAGCTTTTTGTACTATGTACATTGCACATGCCTTCTTGGGTGGGAAAGAGAAGCTAATTTTCCTTGCCCTTTCGGCGGGTTTGTGTGATAATCTCTTATCTTTTATGAGGAACTGGGTGGTTTTACCAAGTATTGGACTGAACTAAGAGCCTCAAACGGCTGAAACAATCAAAAAACTTAATAGAGCAATTATGCGAAGGGGAAAATTTGTGAATGAAAGTGAGTCAGCTTAAGAAGATACTGTGAATTTTGCCTTTTGTTATATACTTGTGTGTGTTTGAGAATCCAACGGTCTTGACATGCTGGTATATTTGATAGTCAGGTTTGCATCATTCTACAATTGAAGCTTTATTTAAAACTCGAACTTGTCAGATTGTAATACAACACATGTTGACCTTGGGGCCACTCTTGAATGTACTTGGAGTGTTTGTCTATTAGCTGATATTTTGTATGATTATTTTGTGGGCTAATCACATTTGTAGTGCTTGAAGCTTGAAGACAGCTTCATCTTAGTTTCTGAAGTTCCAATTATTGTGGTCTATTTTGTTAGATCCTGTATAATGAATGGAAAAAACTGCCCATTAGCAATCATTTTATCAATGCTAGCTTGTGAACTAGCCCAAGGATACTATCAAGCCTTGTACAGAGAACACGGAGTTTTGTCAAAAAATTTCTTTAGATCCCTATGTTCTGCTGTTATCTTACAGCCTGCACTTCACTTCTGCTGTTGTCCAGCATTCCTCTAGCACTTGGGTTTCTTCTTTTCTCCATATCTCTTGTTTGTTCATCCAACCTTTTGAACTACATTTTGTTGCTCGTAATTCAAGACTAGAGATTAATCGAATCTAGTATGTAAGCATTATTTGGAGCAAATAGTTTTTTAGTTGAATGTTGGATATCTTTTTGGAATAATTTGACAATTATTATCAGAAATGGAAGTGATTTTTGAGGCTGCCTGTCTGAGCAAGAATTATTTGAACATGCTCTTCTAGAGGTCGATAAGGTGATGGAATTTGATGACAAGAAGTTCTTTTCAGTGTTATGGTATTATTTGAAGATTCATTGACAGATTTCAAGGAAAGGATATTGAAATCGACTTTCAGTTAACAAGTTTCTAAACCCACATACTTCAAACCCTCCACTTGCTCAGGTTGAATGAAAGCACTTTGAAATGACTAGTTAGCTCAATTTTTCCCCATTTTCACGGAAAGATAGTGCAAGTGTGTTTTTCAGGGACTTCATAATATCCACCTAAGATTCTCTCTTTAAATTTTGTTCAAATGCAGAGAAAACATATTTTGTTAATGTTTGCTTTTCTGCAAGGATTCGGGTTTGATTTGGGCACGTTGTTTCAAGCACTTGTAAACAATGGTAAACTTGTTGTTTTCTTTTTCTTATGGAATGAAGTATTCGAAAAAATTTGCTCCATTGTGGTTAGGGAAATGGTACTTGAGCAGTGGAAGAAGATCTGTGTAGCTGGCCTCATATAAGTATAGGATAAGGCTCTCTTGTTTTAAGTATCATTTTTATCTTTGTTCTCTAAAATCATTCTCTTTGATAAACCTTGTTTTGCGCTGACCATGGATATATGACTGTCCACTTAACCACATAAATCTTGTGTTTCTATACTTCCCTAAAAGCTAAAATTTTGTTACTGAATAAGAGCTTCTTAAATCAGGTCTTTTTTCTTATAGGATTTTTGTGAAAGGTAGGAGAAAAGAAATAAAGGATTAGTTTTGAGAAAAAATAAAGCTTCTATGGGAATATTTTTTTTGGCCAAAACCAATCCTCAATTGACTCTTTGTTGATGAGCTTTTATATGTATTTAGGTACTTTAATTTTCTTTTACATTTTACATATTTCTTTAATCTTCAGAAGTCTCTCGAATCAGTCATGGTTTAGGTTGATTGATTGTTAGTGACTCCAAAGGGGTTAGTGTTTGTTTGATTTTTATTTAGGAAAGGAGTCTCATTAATATTATGATAGTTAAGTCAAAATATACTTGTATAATGGTTTGATTAGGGGAAATAATTGAATTTTTCCACAGAAAGTTTAACAGCCTTTAATCATTAGTAAGGTGCATGCATTTCCATCCAGGAGTCGCTCAGCAAATGTAGGTCAGATACCTAGTTTTCTTCTTATTTTTCTTTATTATCTTTAGTTATCAAACCCAAATTTACCTCCTTTCAGTCTAAAACTGTTCTTTGCCTATACTACTGCTTTTATATGTCAAATTTCATATTTTGCAGAACCTAGTACTGTAAGTTTGTGGTTCCTACGCTATGAATATTTCCTTAAGTATATGTAGATTGGGTTATAAATATAGGTCAGATCAGCTGAATTTCCGAATTAAATTAGTTGGAAGTTAAAGCAATTCTATTCTACAGTCTCGTACTTCTTTTTTGACTTGTATGTTTCTCTTATTGAAATAAGTTCATTTGCAGCACACAAAGAAGCTTGTAAATATTGAAGAATTGTTAACTAGGAATGGAGCTCTCTTTCCCGAAACTTGACCACTCTTCATTGGACGTATGCATTCTCTATTGTTGTGTTGCACTTCAACAAATTGCTGCCATTTCAAAATGACATTTTGATCGTTTTTATGTTCTTTTTTTTCCTTCTGCTCTTTTTATGTTAGTTGTCTCATTCCATTGGTTCCTTCACTTCGGGCAATCATGAGACTTACAATTGCTTCAAGTGTATCTAACACCCTCTAAGGACACTTTATAGGAAGAACATTTATTAATCAAAGTTGCTAAGATTGAGTTGTTACCAATTATAAGTTCTTTTTTCAGTAAAGAAATTCTGCATTGTTCTTGACTTTTTTAGTTACAAATTTAACTTGGTATTACAGGATCCACTTAAAAATGGCGTTTTGGCAGTTCAAACATTACGGAACAACATAATGGCATCTACACTTTTGGCGACAACTGCTATCACTCTCGTCTCTTTAATAAGTGTATATGTCAGCAATAAATCAAACTCTCCCTCCTTGGAATTAGTTTACGGTAATAAAACTCCAATCATGTCATCAGTAAAGTTCTTCGCTATCTTGCTCTGTTTTCTCGTTGCCTTTCTTTGCCATGTGCAGTCTATTAGGTACTATGCCCATGTTAGCTTTCTAGCTACAGTGCCTACATTCAAAGACAGAAAAGATGCTATAGAGTATGTTGTAATAAACTTGAACAGAGGAAGCTTCTTTTGGTCGGTAGGACTTCGGGCATTTTACTTTTCATTCCCTCTGTTCCTTTGGGTCTTTGGGCCGATACCCATGTTCGTATGCTGCTGCATACTGTCATTTATTCTCTATTTTTTGGATACTACTACAAACTTTACAAGGAATATGCACAATCATTCTATCAAGGATGAAGCAAAGGCTGATGATTTGGAGTCAATTCTTCCCTCAACATAGAAGTGACAGCCAGAAAATACTTCCTGCTTGTAACTTTTGTTAGTAGAAAAAGAGTTTTCTTTGTCAATGTCTCGCCGAAGCTTAATTTTCCTATTTTGGCGTGTTGATATGTAATACTAGATGGATTCGACAATATAGTAGATAAGATTTTAAAATCTTTTTCTTCATAACACTGTTCATTACTGTTCAATCCACCTTACGAAATATTCCATTAGATTAATCTTAATGTATCTGGTTGCTAAGTTCAAGGTTTTATGTTTGTTCCTTTTCTCCTCACTCTTAACTTTTGTGTTGACAAAGGTAGTACTAGTGTTTATGGTCCTTTAAATATTCCATATAATTTTATATTATTGTGAAACTACTGGCCATCTGGATTCTAGAAGATGATTTTTTATTTTTATTAAAATTTGTTGGGCAATTTCACCTCTAATGCAGAAAATTAAATTACATCGCCAAGCAAATAAAGGATCAAAGTAGCAAATCAGAAATACTAAAAGAAGGCAACATAAGAAAACACAACACCAAATTTTACGTGCAAAAAACCCTCTAGTGTAGAGGGGAAAAAAAACAACAGGACAAATCCGACCAAATCCATTATAATAAACAGAGATTACAATATTTAAGTTTATGACCAAAACTTGAATTCGTAACAAATTGGGAAATCCAACAATATGATACCTCTAAGAAAACAATAATCTCAACCCCAAAACCATTAGTTTGAACCTATGAGATCTCCATTCCAAATACTACAACTCCTTGTAGAACCAAAGTAACCTCTTAGAGAATTCCCCAATTTATTCTTGAATAGAGATCAAACTCGTGTGAAATCCACACCTGAAGAAAGAAGAAAACACTTGCTTCTTCTCTTCAATGTCTCCACAAAGCCGAAGCCAAGCTTTTCTTTGTCTTTCTCTCGTATATAGTGATAATTTGCAGAGAACTAAAAGAGATGAAATGAAAGGCGGGAAGAAGATTCAATTGATTAAACAAATTCAATTACAAAATGATACCAGCAATGGCCTATTTATACACGAGCTGAAGGAGAAGCTCACTCCTAAAGGATGAAGAGGGAAAATCACAATGACACAAATAACCTTCATTTAAATGGGCTAATCTAAAATGGGCTTGGCAAGACTATAATGGGCTTAACACTTCCCCTCAAGATGAGGAGTATATATTCAATACTCTCATCTTGTGTAATAACAACTTAAATATAGTTCCACGAATGGCCTTTGTTAGGAGATCATCAATTTGATTCTGAGAAGAGGTAAACAACATTTTCACTTCACCTGCCTGAACTTTGTCTCTAACCAAATGACAATCAATCTCTATATGCCAGTGTTCTAAAAGGCGTAATGCGTTGCGATGCGTCGAGGTCGAGAATCAAGCATCACAAGTTTAGGCGCA